TATTATTTTATTTCGCGTCAAAACAAGCCGTGTACACGAACAAACAAAATTTGTTTGTGTTCGGCTTGTTAGCTTAACAAACGAATCAAACACGGGTTATTTAATGAGCCAAACAAGAGCAATGACAAGCTTTTTTGACAGCCTAGAGGGAGTAATGTTCTCATCCTAATGATGTAGAAGAAAATCCTTATAATGAGAAGGTGATTAAATAAAGCATTATACACTTTTATTCCCTTCTTTTATCTCCGTTAAATTTATCACTCATGTATATTTATATATTTTCTGTTAGCAGCGAGACCTAAGTAACTCGTAATTGAATTGTAATGCTAATAAATACATGATTTGATGTACAAATATTTTGTTTAAAAGTTTCAGGGTGTAAATGAGTAGAGCTCAAGCCACTCGCGGTATGAGCTTGTGCTTGTTAATCCTATCGAGTTCTAGTTCAAGCTTGAATTTAAGTCTATGAGTTCAAGCCACCTCACAAGCCAGCTTGGAACGTTTATTATAAAAGAGAAAATAATATTAATTTAATGTATTGTTATAATAAAATGACAAATAAAATGAACAATCATGAGAGAAATAGTAAGAAATTACTCAAGATAAAATACATGATATTATTTTTAAAATTTTCGAATGATTAAAAGATAAAATATTTTAAGTATATTTTATATTAATATTTTTTTTTTAACAAGCCGGTTCACAAGCTAACGAGTTGAGTCGGGGCAAAGTTTGAGCTTGGCTTGTTAGTTCATCCAGCTTAGTTCACGAGCCACATATTGAGCAGAAATTGTACCGACTCATGAATTGGCTTGCCTCACATACAACCCCGCACTTTTTATTCATGGAAGTTCATGAAATCAAACTTGAGAATTTACATTAAGTTTGGCTTTATTTAGAGCCTTCATAAGGTGTCTCACATATATACTTGATTTAAATATTAATAAACTTTCACAATTAATTAAATTTATTATTTTTTATTTCCATCATATACAAATAATTTTTATTTCCCATATGTTTAATTCTTTTACAAACTACTTTGTTGTAACATCATTTTAAATTTATATGCCTAGCTTTTAGTACTTCATATCCTTATTACAGTTATAATTTCATCTCAAAATTTGTCCTGA